TTGCGAAGAGTAGTCTGAGTTCCTTTAAAGTTGCAGCAGTCGACGATGACGACATTTCCAGCACTTCCGGCCATTTGGAGTACGCATCGACTACGACAAGATACATCTTTCCATTTAGTGGTCCTGCATAGTCAATGTGGATTCGGTTCCATGGTTTTTCTTCCATTTTCCATGAATGCAGTACAGTCTTCACTGGCATCTTGGCTGCTTCTTGACATTCCCTACAGCGGCGCACTGAGTCTTCGATGTCTTTGTTGATGCCCATCCAGTATGCGAATCCTCTCGCGAGCATCTTCATCCTTGTCATTCCAGGGTGTCCCTCGTGTAACTGCTTCAAAACCTCTTGTCGCAGCGAGACTGGAATAACCATTCTGTGGCCAAAGTACAAACATCCATTTTGCACTGATAAACTCTCGCCCAGTGCTCTCCAGTTTCCGATATCTCCTTTCGGCTTGGACGGCCACGATCCTGACTGTAGCATTTGTATAACCTCCATGATGTTTTCGTCCTTATGGGATTCCTCTTCAATCTTACTCTTGCTCACTGGTAGCGCTCTTACAGCGGCAGCTTGAACGGCTTGCACATCTTCTTCTATCTTCGCTATCACGGCGTCCTCGGTTTGGAATGGCCGTGGAGGGATCAATCGAGACAATGCATCGGCTTGTCCGAATTCGGTCGTCTTCTGGTACTCCAAATCGAAATCGTATGCGAGAAGAATAAGTTTCCATCGTTGCAATCTGTTCGCTGTGTACACAGGTACCATCTTCTTCGGTCCAAAAATGTGCAGCACCGGAACTGGAAGCCGAAATCGATCGCTTGGTAGCCGAAGGAGTCATTTCTCCGGTCGAACACTCAGAGTGGGCCGCGCCAGTGGTCGCCGTCAAGAAGAAAAATGGCAAAATTCGTCTATGTGCCGACTTCTCGACAGGATTGAATGATGCTTTGCAGCTGCATCAGCACCCATTGCCCACGGCGGAGGAGGTGTTCGCAAAACTAAACGGAGGCCAGCTCTTCACACAACTCGACCTGGCCGAAGCTTATCTACAGGTGGAAGTTGCAGAAGCATCGAAAGAGATGCTAACCATCAATACGCACAAGGGATTGTATCGCTACAATCGCCTACCTTTTGGAGTAAAATCCGCGCCAGGCATATTCCAACAGATTATGGATTCTATGATAAGCGGACTTGATGGAGTAGCCGCTTATCTCGATGACATCATCATCACGGGAAGAAGTTACGAAGAGCATCGCCAAAATTTGGAAGCTCTTTTTCAAGCGGATCAAGGACTATGGATTCCATGTCAGGTTGGAAAAATGCAACTTTCTGATGCAAGAAATTTGCTACCTAGGCTGCATTATCGACAAGAACGGACGCCGGCCGGATCCGAAGAAAATTGAGGTCATCCAACAAATGCCAGCCCCGAAGAACATAGCAGATGTTCGTTCCTTCCTCGGCATGATCAACTACTACGGATTATTCGTAGCAGAGATGCGCCAGCTCCGTGCACCCTTGGACGCACTGCTCAAGAAGGAAGCAAGGTTCGAGTGGACAAAGGAATGCCAACACGCATTCGAGCGTGCTAAGGAAGTTTTGGCCTCGGATCTACTCCTTACACATTTCGACCCTATGTTGCAGATAGTGGTAGCTGCCGACGCATCGGATTACGGAATTGGAGCCGTGATCTTACACAAGATGCCGGATGGATCGGAAAAGGCGGTTTGTCATGCAAGCCGGAGCCTCACATCCGCCGAGAAGAATTATGGACAAATTGAAAAAGAAGGACTTGCACTGGTTTTCGCAGTGCGTAAGTTCCATCGATATATATACGGACGTCGATTCAGGCTGCTCACCGACCACAAGCCGCTGCTGCACATTTTTGGACCGAAGAAGATGGTACCTGTGTACACAGCGAACAGATTGCAACGATGGAAACTTATTCTTCTCGCATACGATTTCGATTTGGAGTACCAGAAGACGACCGAATTCGGACAAGCCGCTGCATTGTCTCGATTGATCCCTCCACGGCCATTCCAAACCAGTTGTTGTGGAACGCGTTGAGTCGTTGACGATTTATTAGAAAAACACAAGAGTTCCCCCTCTGCCTATCGGCGTACATGCCGAGGGTTCACTAGGAATAACTAGGGAACAACACTCGCAAATATATCAAGGTGCGGCGGGTACGCCGCAACCACAGAGACCATATTGACCTAGCCTATAGTGAGCGAGCAAGTTCCAATATAAGGGACGGCTCTACAACACCTCCCTCCTAAGATGAACAACGGTACATCTTACAATAAGGATCTACTTGTAGACGTTCTGGTGGGCTAGTTCGCATGTCGTCTCCATAGCTGACCGTCTTCCGTAAGTACGCCATATAGCGCTTCTCCCTATCGTTTCTTCACTCGTGCTGGAATCCATTTTTCACATTCAGAGCGAAAATCATGTAACCACACGGATTCTTGTGGCTGGTACGATTTCTTTCGTGCTCCGTGACGGCGCTTGAACTGCTTCTCCGTAGATTTATTGCCCATTCCTTCTTCTTTGGAGTCTTCATTCAGCAGCGACAGTGGTGTCCTTATCTGACGTCCCAAAAGCAGCTCGGCAGGCGAACGTTCTCCTAGAGCAGTTGTACAAGGCGTTCGTCGATAAGACTGCAGAAACTCTGCGAGCTTCTCTGCCGTTCCTTTCTTCTTAATTTTCTGGAAAGTCCTTTTGAAGATATTCACAAACCTCTCCGCTTGTCTATTTGATTGCGGATGGAATGGTGGTGCACGTACATGCTTGATTCCTCTCTCTTTACAAAAGTCTTGAAATCTCATCCTGATCGCCAGTTGTAGTAGAACGCGTTGAGTCGTTGACGATTTATTAGAAAAACACAAGAGTTCCCCCTCTGCCTATCGGCGTACATGCCGAGGGTTCACTAGAAATAGCTCAGGAACAACACACAAAATATATCAAAGTGCGGCGGGTACGCCGCAACCACAGAGACCATATCGACCTAGCCTATAGTGAGCGAGCAAGTTTCAACATAAGGGACGGCTCTACAACAATGCCAATGGAAAATACGCGAGAATATTTGAGATAAGGTGATAAGCCTGCACTGCTAAGTGGATCTCGTGTTAAGACGGCAAGAATATACATATTCGATAGCCCAAAATCTCGTTACATAAAAGTGATTTGAGGCTGATCGGTTCTCTTTACTCTGCGTTAGTAAAAGCGAAATATGAGACAAACGAGGATTTGGTTTGCTCCTAATTTCAGAATTTGAAGGTCATTTGAAGTGGGATTCCTAATGTGAGCAAAGAAGAAGCAGTTCTTTGTAAGAAGTGCAAAAAGAGTGGTTAAAGGCAGTTGCTCGGCAAATTCTCAACTCAAAGATTTTTCGCTTACTTGGGGTAATTCGACGCGCTGTTTTCAAAAATGTACCTTAGAGAGCGCGAAAATGGCGAAAACCAGGATTTTTTAGGGCCTCTCATTTTGAATTTGGACGAGTGAAACCCTCCCGTCATGGTTAGAGACATAGAGTCTTGCGGGACCCTCATGCTTATAGCATTGTTATATGCCGCTCTGACGGTGGGAAAGGCCCGTCCGAACGCGTGTAAGAATGACTCGCGCGCACGGGTTTAGGAACAGTTTTCTAGGCAGGGGCTGCATGTTGTGCGCTCGGACCTGCTCTGTTCTCATGTTTGGGATGCAAGCAACCTTCCATATCAAAATCTCGATATGTTTGGTTTTGCCGAGCCACTGCCTTTAATCACCTTTGAAACAAAGTTAACATGTTCGTAAATGACCATCTCACTTGGATGGCCCTATATTTAGAAACTTCAGAACTCCTAAAACTTGACCCACAGGGGTTATTTGACAGGCCAATTGCTAGTGATGCTTTCTTTTAAGGCTCTTTTAAATGCTTAGTGTGCATTACGTAGGCCAAAACATCAACGTGCTAGTTTGCGGGAGACGGTCTTTTCGCACGGGCGTTTTCAAGCGCCACTCTGATTTTGACTTGTCTGAACACGTCACGCCCGCAAACCTTTCCTCCCCTTGCTTTGCTTAGGGAAGCCGCCGCAAGATGTATCGCGCGCGACGGTGGTCCTCTGTGGAAAGCATAATGGTCGGGAGTCGCCCTGCACCCGTATTTTGCATTATGAGCAGGGTAAAGCGGGGGGTGCGGCACGCCGCAAGGGGGGGTCGTAAGGGGAGGGGGGGTAGGTGGGGGGGGGGGTCGTATCGACCCAAGGTCAAAAGCACTTTTACAAGCTGTGTGACTAAATTGACTTGATGAAAGCGCTGTTGAAATCCTGCAAAATTCAAGTTCAACGACACAAACTTGCAGATACCGTATGCCTACCGTAACCTACCGTACCTCTAATCAAGCATAATTGTCGTAATCCGCGTGTCGAATAACCCCTGTGCGCCAAGTTTCAGCGAACTCTGAGGTCTCCGAGCAGTAAACAACCTTGTATAAAGCAGCAATTTAAAACATGATTAACTTCATCTTAACGGTGAGTAAGCTACCTCTTCTTGCACTCAATACGAAGCACTACTCCTTCTTTGTCCACCTCAGGAATCCCGCTTCAGAAGACCTCCAAACTATTGAATTAGAAGCCAACCAAAATCGGTTTTAGCTTTTGATCGCTGTGCTTTCACCAAATATTACTCAGAGCTAAGAAGAAGAATCAGGCTCAAAACATCCCTATGGAATCTACGAGGTTTAGGCTATTCATTCATATAAATATTGTCCGCTAAAAATGTTTTTTTGATATAGTTAATGGCCTGCGGCACCCCCCCTCAAAACCTGCGGCTGCCGCAGGTTTTGAGGGGGGGTGCCGCAGGCCATTAAGTCACCTTCAAAGAGGTTGAACATGAAGGCTATCTACATCCGTGCAATTAGTGAACCTTCTCCTCTTTGAAGCAAAAATTTCATTCGAGATCGTTTCTTTCGAAAGAAGTTATGGAGCCTTTTTCCATTACATTCACTTCGAAACAGGGCGAAAAAAATATGGGTTACGGTAAGACGCCGGCTCTGGTCCGGTACGTAAGTTGCAGGGACGCGGCAAAGTGGATAATTTGAATGCTTTGTACTGTTAATGCGACCATTTTTGAGTTGTTCTTGCTTCCGTGTTTGTTTTCGTTTCATTCTCTTTGATGATTGCTGCCATTTAGGGATGGTGCGCTTATGTTAACAATTTTCCAGGGCATTTCCGATGAAACAAACGCGCTTTTGGACCAATAAAATGTAGCATTCCCACAGCACCCATTCCTCGCCACGATTGCTTACTTGTTTGCGATGAAGTAGCAGCTTCTCCATCGAGTGTAAGTTTTGTAAATGTAAAACAGACAATGCTTTTACGGCTTTACGGCGTTGTTAGTCAAATGAGCTTCGGATTTATCACTGCAGCTGAGGAATCGCTAATCCTCTTCGTATCTACACTTGTTTCAGGAAAAGTTCAGCCTGTTTATTGTTGCAATGTGTGCTGACATAAGCCATGGCATCTGCAAGCAAGCTTCGGGAATGAACACAGTTTATGAGAAAATATCTGGCCTACTGACTTCTCTTGATGGAAGGTTAGTTTCTCCACTTCTTATTCCCATATTTTCAATTTAATGAAGATTAGTCTTTTCATTATCAGATATCTTTTTCTTGTGCGAAGAGTCGTTTTTCACTAATCCTGACTTGTTAGCCCAAAAACTGGGTAGTTAGGATTAGTGAAAAACGAGCAAATTTTGTTGCATAGCTTGCAACAAAATTTTCTTGCCATTATACGTCATTCTGTTTGATGGAAGATTTCTTCAGTTGGAAAACAAAGCTACAATTTTTTCAGGTTTCCTTCTCTATCTGAACTTTCCGCGTTTTCTGATCTTTGCGAAAAGATCAGTAGTCAGGAGACTGTAGATACGGCCAGAGTGATGCGACTATTGCAGATGGATGATGAACAGCTAGAAGCAGCTCGCTCATTTAACTTTCAGCTCAGCTTAATCATTTTACTCATTTTATTTAGCGACTTTGATATTGATGAAAGGATTTTGAAGGTAAATCACTTCTCCAAAGTCTTCGTATTCATATCGCTTTTTCTAGGCAATTGGCAATCTTGGATGGAAGTGGCCAACACAGGTACAAGAATCAATGTTTTCTTTGGCATTTGAAGACATGAATAACATGGCTAGGGCTCGGACCGGGAGTGGTAAAACTGGAGCCTATCATACCAGTTATCCAGAAGTGCATCGCATACTCGGTCAGTGGTGGTTTCTGTTCCTCTTCAACTTCGTTTGCTTCTACTAGAGATTGCACATACCACTCTTTTTTCCTTTTTTTGAATCTTGTTATTAGCGAGTGTAAATCCTAACGAATGTTCCACCTATCCGCTGTTATCGCTTTCACATTTTGCGTAAATTTGTTCGATTCGCCCCCGCTTTGTGCTTTACATATCTATCTCTCAGGAGGGGTTAACCAAATCTCCACCACTTTTAGTTTCTTTTCGTTACATCTTGACTCTCATTGAGCCCGAGGCTGCTGCTTTATCATCGCGCTAATTCTTCGCAGCTTTTCTGGACTTTTATTCTGAAAATGAAGTAGACCTAGTTCTAAAAAGTTTGAACTTCTCCATAGAACTTGTTTATCATCACAACTAGCCTATAACGAGGGTTTCGCTCACATGCCGTAGTTGAAAGTCTACGAACGAAATGTGTAAGGATGGTTTGAAAATCTAAAAGCTTAGAATAGATTGAGAATATTCTATTTGCGAGAACTTCTGCTAAGTATTCGATTTTACAGCTTGTTAGGAATCCGTCTCTGATTGATCTGATTTCATTTTGTTTGAAATCTTGATTTTTTCCACCAGGACGATGGAGAGCCGCAAGGACCATCAGCCTTGTTCATTGCCCCAACGAAAGAGTTATGCGTGCAGGTAGGTTTTTCTTATTTTCTCTTACCATCTGATGCAGTTTGGCCCGTTTTAGATTAACGATCTCTTGGTTAAACTGCTAGAACCCTTGCCATTTCTGCGCACTTTGAATCTCTCTAATTTGACATCAGAAGAGAAGTCTGTATGGGAAAATGTAAGTCTGTGAAAACTTTTACTTTGAACGTTAATTTGAATATACTTAATCTTATTTTTCATTTTACTTATTTTCACTGGTTTTCAACTTCAAGTATTTTTCTCTGTTCAACAGCGCTCTTTTCCAGGATTTTGCACATTTTGTTGTGTCTACGCCTGGCAAAATTCTTGAAATGCTGGCAGCCCGTCGAATTTTTGCAAGGATGTTCGGCATCTTGTACTTGATGAGGCTGATCTACTGTTGTCTTTTGGATACGAAGAGGAAATGAGGTTCGTCCGCGTTAACGTCATATTGCGCTTTTACATGTTTATTGTAGTGCTCTGAAGCAGTATCTTCCCCCAAACTATCAATGCATTCTTACCTCAGCTACTATCACAGATGACATGAGTGCTTTGAAGAGTTTGTTTATGGTTAGACCAGTGTTAGCTTTGAAACTAAAGGTTTGTCAATCAATTTTTGTGTATGCAGCTGGAAAAGCTTTTGAAATGAATAGTTGTTTACAAATTATTCGTGATAGTCCGCATAGCGCGGTGAGTTTCAATGTCATTAATGTGCGGGAACTAGTAAGGCGTACAGACAGTGGGGCCAATGCGAGCCTCTGCGAAGCAGAGGTGACGCACTGGTCTGCACATAATCCGAAGCTCAAGAGCTAGCTTGGGAGTTCGGGAGGGAGGAGGGGGGGGGGGGTAGGAAAGGGGGGGGGGGTCGTGCCGAGGTCCGGCCCGGGGGGGGTCGTATCCGGCGGTCGCGTGCCGCACCCCCCGCTTTACCCTGATTATGAGCCTATCTGATAATATTTGCGAATATCATCTTATCGCTAACTTCAATATCACATCGATTGCGACCTCCTTCTTCCCTAAGTCCTCAATACGGCCCCACGTGTGGCGTGCCACACCCTACGCTTGACCCTGGTCATGATTCCATTGACGATCTAGGCCTCCAGTCCCATTCACTAGGGATCCGTAAACTACATCTCATAATCCCACCGTAGCCCAGTCCCCACCTACGCCAAATTTTTTTCGCTTGACTATTCTACTAGCTAGCTTTATCTGCGAGCTCGCTAACACCCAAAATGGGGGTCATCAGGGTTTGGAGAATCTAGGATCTCTGGGTTTTCTGGACCGTTTTCTTTATTGTTATTGCAAACGGCGTCTAGTCATCGCGGGCCTAAAGTTTGTGGTTTTTTTTTTGGTCTGTGCATCTCTACAAACTTCCTCGTTTTCCTGAGTCTAGGTCTGGCTGCTTTTTACTTGAGTTCCCGAATTTTTTGTCTTTATTTTTTCGGTGCACCTTGGCTGTACTCATGAATGATAAATAAATAATTCGGATTTTGGGCATAATATCTTGTACGACAACATGTGGATAGGCAAAGTCGATAACTTACGTCTGCTTTTATTGCGATCATATACTTCCCACATCATAATGGAACAAATGAGTTGCGATAATCATTTTTCAATTTTTCATTCAATTTCATGCGTTTAGAAGTTTTCTTCTTCTTTGTGATTACGTGCGGAGCCCCAATGGCACGAGTCTGTTATGTTGAAAACACATGAAACAGTTCCGCGGCTTTTGTCGGGATCTTGCTTCACATCACATCCGACGGCGTACGCACACTGGATATACTGAATAAACAGATTTTGAAAATTGGAAAAAGTCTGAAAATCAGCTGCACGAGTTCATGCTCACTGATTCGTTTACCAATAAAAAAAGCGAATTTGTGTCGAAAAAGTTGTCGAGACGCAGACTAAGAGCTGGTCCGACAGTCCTTATCCCAACTGGGCGTGGCCCAACAGCTCCAGATGAGCTATGACTAACTAGGAAAGAAGTGGCTTCCCTTTCCTTTCTTCAAATCTTTTGTATATCTATCAAAAAGGTTCTAGTCACAATGTTATGTTCATATAGAGAGGATAACCAAGGTGAGGAATTCAAGTCAGGAGAGTACACCTCTTTGACTTGACAAAGTCGATATTCATAGACCTGGATTTGCGGTAGCTCTGATCGTCGCTACTTACGAAATGATAAAATTAGAAAACACAAATCATCAACTGCCTTCTACCATGTATAATATGTGTCTTAGCCAGCTTTCTATCCCTCCAACATGCAATGCGCGCTAGGCGTAATGTGTCTGATTTCGCTTGTAGGCAGTGAAGCATCCTCACACAGAGATCGGAGTGAAATGGAAATGGAAAGTGGAAACTTTGACCTAGAGAGAAGTTTGTGGCTAACAAAACGTTTATTTTTCCAGGTTTTGAAATTGTAGCTAGTTCATACCATTTTAAGAGCCCAAAAAGTACATGAATGGTAAATAATGATATTGGCCCTAGAATAAGAACCAGCACTGTTTTGGAATTTTTTCTGCTAAGCTTGAACACGACATAAAACACGAACAAATCTATGCAAACGAAGCTCTAACGACTTAGCAAAAGTCTCGATATTTGAAAATCTATTCGAGAGACAAGGATTACTTTGTAAGAAAAAAGTCGTTATTACAAAGTTTTTAGAATTATCCAAGCCCCTTAGAATCCATCACCCGACTATTGGAGAATCGTTGCATTGTCGGGACGCAGCTATTACCCAACAGCTGCTCGCGACGGAGGTTGGCCTAAGATAGCGAACCTTTGACAATGACCTCCGCCCGCCGTCAGGAGACGGTTCCCTCTTCCCCCTTTCTCTTTCCCCTTTTGTATATAGTTTGTATAATAAAGATTATAGTAAGACAAATGTAAACCCCTTTACTTATCAGGTAAAGGCGTCATGAACCTTTATCCTGACAGCATCTAGAACAGAGAGACTACAAAACAAAACATCAAAAAAATGCGTGAAGTACTTTATAAGATGAAAGCGAGAAGCGCATTCGTTGACCGCAAGGACGGGACACACTGCGGAGCACGCGCCGCTAGGTAAAACACTTGCTTCAGTGAAAATGCCATTGTACAAGTCGCGCTCTTGCAACATTACAGCTGCGACGGCGTGGTCCGCAGCGTTTCAGCAGTCCGTGCGGTCAACATCGACGATACACGAAGCTGGTTGGACACACACTATATGAAGCCAAGCCCATAATCATTTTTACTGAATCGTTACTCATAATTATCCGCTAATCTGTCAGTCGTTATAGTTAGTATGTTGCGCAGATACAATGAGGAATGATTTATAATACTTCAAATCAGGTGAGATTCGCATGACTATCAATGTTCATCTTGTTTGGGATTAGGCTAACAAGGGAAGGATACTATTAGATTTGCCTTTTGAGGTGAGACACATGCAACTGAAACCAGCCTGGAACAATGATTCCAAATTTGCTGTTACTAGCTGCTTAGCGTTATTACGAAGCGAGTTATGGTCTCTTTTCTATGCATAGTTTGCGTGCTCCCAGCCTACTGATCTACGGTGTTGATGTCTTAAACCTAAGGCATACCTCGCGCGATTTCGTCAAATCGCTACATCCACACGACTTGGCGATTTGCCAGATCTCTACAGATTGACCGTGTGCGGTCTCAAATGCATAGGCGTGTAGCTATCGTAAGTTGTAGCAAACCCATCAAGTCTGGCCCATACAAGCGCGGTTACGGCCATATATGAAGAGTCGCTGCAGCGTCAAATCGCTCAGCGACTGAAATCGCATGAGGTAGCCTTAGGCCTTACAAGGGAAGTTCGCCGAATCGAAATGGCCGACTGATACGTGGTATACACCCGGACGCGGGGCTCGGGAGGTTAGTATCAAATGTGCTCCCATTAGCTGCGACGCGTTATTGTGAAGCAAGTTATGGCCCTCTGAAGTTGTTGGCGTGTGCGTATCTAGAGAACACACAAATGCTCCGATTGTGGCCGTGTGGTGTAGTGGTTAGCGTCTCGGACTCACAGGTGACCGGTGAGGGTTCGAATCCTGTTGCTGTCCACATGTTCTGCGTTCTTCTCAAAATTCATTTTTTACCTATTTTATGCATTACTGACGTAAAAAATGGCACATACGGGTGTTCAAACTCTACTAATTACACATCCTGCCATGTCATTCTCACAAAGTAGCCCATTAGCAAGAATCGATAGTACGACGTGATACAACTTGGAGATTGTCACGTAAATACTACATGCAATCGACGAAAGTATGTGGGAGTGAGGATTTGGCAAATCTTCAAAGTCAATTGAAAAGCCGTCGCTAAAAAGTCGTTGCTATGTTCTACGAAAATCTTACATATGAAGCATTGGTCGAATTTTCGTAAGAAAAATCATTCCGTAACCCGTGTGTGTCATTTTTTACCTCAATAACATAAAACAGGTAAAAGATGATTTTTGAGAAGAACGCAAGAACAACAGAAAGCTCATAACTCGCTTCAAAATAACGCTAAGCAGCTAGTCGCAACGTATTTGGAATCAGCGCTCAAAGCTGATTTCAAATATATGTGTCCCATCTTCAAAGGCGAATCTAAGTCAGTATCCTTCCCTTGTAAATCACTTATTCGTCTCAGTTCGTCTATCACGGAAATAAATGAGGAATGATTTACAAGATTTGGAAGCATGTGTCATAACGTCCTCATTAGATTATTCGCTCAAATCAACTGAGAAGTAATTTGAGAGTCACTCTAGCTCCTAGGTCTAATAAGTTGTGATAAGTTTCATAATGGCAAGGTGCCTATGTGGAGCAGAGGTGATGCGATGGCTATTTTGAAGCGCTAGAGCTTGTTCGTGTGGAAGTATGTTTGCACGAAATTCTTGGAGCAAATCACATCCAATAAAAAAGGAGCAAGGTGCAGCATGCGCACCGCATTTTATGGTTTAGAGGAAATTTAAGTGCGTGATATAGTTGATTGCACGGAATCGCCCGGAATGAGCATCCGCGCCCGTGTCTCTTGCGAGCTAACATTGGCATTCGTGCGCATGAGTCATCATAGCGCCCGTACTCGGCAGCCGCGTTGCAGGCACGCTCGCTTGCGCTCACCCTACAACAGCCCGGCCAATGTGCACCCGACTTCAACTAACTCCGAGCACTCGTACAAGAAACGAAGGAAAAAATTTGATTCTTACATAATCAAAGTTTGATCGGCCGTTCCAAAAGTAAACAGCGGCTTGGGCTACTTCAATATCTGATCGAGTATTGCCACTGAAAGAATATAGGTATTCGCTAGTACCGGAAATCGACTGACGAAACAGACTTACAAAAATTGGTAATTGAAGACTCTAAACAAATTATTTGGCAATTGGCCACCTCCCGCGGTGTATGAGGCATAATTTTCCAGTTCGCAACTGTAGTGCTGGAAAGAAAGCCTTGAGTTTTGATGTGGTCGAATATACGTTTATGCATAAATTCGCTTATGAACGGATGCTTTTGCAGGAACTAGTAGCATCTTTCAAATAAAAATTGAGACGTACTTGAAGAAACGAATTAGCTAACGCAAACTCAAACGCATTTTTCCATCTTCTGCCTAGGACTGTGCAGTTATCGAAATTATCACCAAGCACCGTTGAGGTCTAAAAATATGTTTAAGATGATACAAACAGAAACAAACCCTACCAAAATAATCACCAGTCGCGTCATGCAGTCTTTTCAAAGGCATTAGCTTGCTGCGATTAGATCGGATTGAGTGGACATGAGCCACATCCATTCAAAAGGGTGGCACAGCATCAGCTAGCTTGAAAAGGCTTGTTGATCTGTATGAGAGATGGAACAATAGCCCATTTTCCATGAAATGCCGATTCATCGTTTCGATGGATTCCGAAAATGTCAATAATTACGATCAAAGAAGACGAAAATTTTCCAACTTGCACTATTCATTTTGCTAGATTGCGCACAAGCAATGACTTTCTATAAATACCAAACTTTGGGGGAAAAATGACTCCCTTCAACGTCAATTTTTTTCGGCTTAGAACAATCATATAGAATAGATTTTGGAGCATTTCAGCTACGAGAGTATCGATGGAGTTCGAACATGTATACCGTAGGAAAGATAATCAAGATTCTTGGCAAGGTGTTTGAGCAATACTTTAGACAGTGATTGAAATCGTGCAGCAGTTGCCCCTGCTTGCACGATTGAAACACCGTGGAATAATGCGGCACTTCATATTCAACTCCTACATTGTTTTCCATTCATCGCAAATCAAAGACCAGATAGTCTTCTCAACGCATGTGCATGCGAAATCTTTATGTAGAATTATCTATACTTAAGTATGTTTATAGCCTGAGATCGAGCTCACTGACACAGCATTTGTATGTATATTCACTTGAGCGAAAAAGGACATGTATATTAACTTGAGCGAAAAAGGACACTTTATGTCCCACCTTGAAAAAGGTAATGGCATTGTTGTTGCAACTTAGAAATTGTGCTTGAGTGCTCTTGTTTGAATAAACAGTATGTAGAATTTACAACGACAATGTTACATTAGGGGATCTGTTGGCAATTGATACCATGACCGTGTTTTATTTTCGTCAAAGTTTTTTCTGCAGTATTTTTTGTTTACGCTGTTGCAGCTGAGAAGTTGTAAACAATCATAAACAATCATAGATTGCTAAAAATTGAGTTTCTGACACTTGAGCGGTCTATGCTTTTTGCGCAAAGTTATTTTTTTCTGTCACACTACTAGTGATGATTTTGTGCAATTTCTCAGAACAGCTGACGCAATTTGACTTCAACTTATTTCAGAATGACCCCGTTCAAACCTTAAAGCTTCCTTTCGTAAAAGAAAAACTTGCTGCAACAAAAGTTATTTATCTCCTCCAGCTATTGCGCAAGCCATAGGTCTAATTCAATATCCATATCATTATTTTCAAATCAAATATCTAGCCTTCATATCGAAGATATCTCTCAGTCAAATTACGAATCTGCTTAAAAGAAAAGAGCGCCCACAACATTTATGAATTGCTGGGGAGGAATCTTGCGAATTTCCCAAATATGCGTTAGACTATGTTACAAATACTAACATACTCGATTACTTAGGTAGCCTGTTTTTACTATATATTTGACAGCAAACCCCATCACAGTGCTAGCCAACAGACCCCATCACAGTGCTAGCCAATCGTACCTATCTATCGCTAGGGGCATCCACTATTTCTTGATTGGCGGCGTGGCGGTATCCTTCAAACGGTCTCCGCATTTTTTCCAGGAGCGCCCTTGGAAGGCAGTAATGACTTTGCGCCAACCTCGCACCTCGCGCATCCTGCACATTCCCGGATTAGTTCCCCTCTTCAATTGCCTTGTTTCCGCAGGCATCAATAGAATGGCCCGCACATAGACGTCATATAGCTGATAATAATAACCAAAAGAGAAAATATTAACAGAAAAGTTTTAGTGAGAAAGATGCACGACGGGTTGATGTGTAACGGCATAAAATGCCAGTTGGATTTCTAATGCAAAGCTCTTCTTTTTAAAAAAAATTAAGCATGCTTCCAGGGAGAAATATACAAACGGAAAATCTTTTAATGATTTTCATTTTCAAGAAGATCACGTGCATGGAAGAGAAAATAAAACAAACATAGCACCTAGGAAAAAAATCAATTGTGAGAGAGTTTTATTAGTACATTCTGCCTTGAACCTGCTCTTGTTATCATAACTTATAATAATGGGCTAAGGGTGTTTGCGTGTTTTTGTGTGTGTGTGTCTGAATGTCTGTCTGTCACGTAATTCATAGCGCGAGTTCCAGCCAACGTTCTGAGCCCAAATTTTGCATAGCGCCTGCTACCAGCATAAAAGTCCACCATGCGAAGGCACGAGCGTATTTGTTAGGTGGATCCCTCAGAAATTGCGCGTCAGCCGGGTCCAATTGGCTTTTGGCCCGCATAATCGGGTCCGTATCACCACTTTTTGCAAAGTTGTGGATATGCTTGGCATCTCAATGTGAAAGCCATGGGTTTTGGTCCAAAAAAAGGATCAAAAGTTTACTACTTTACGAAAAACGAAGCCGCAAAGTATTGATTGCTTGATGGTCGATTTGCCAAGGTTTTACTTGAGTATTTGAAAAGATTTTTGCACAGAGATGTGGCTCAGGGTGTTATTGTCCTTATGGCAACTACTTAGCCAGAGAAAAGTTCAAGAACCTATTCAAACTTGCATTTGTTCTTCTGCGAAAAATTTCATCCTCTCAAAATTACCGTTCTCACATAGAAAAACTTTTGGAATGAGTAGTTGTTTACATTTTGTTCATGATATTCGGCATTGTCCGATGAGTTTCAATGCCATCGTAAGGCATGAATGAGTAAGGCGTACAGAGTAGGACCACAGCGAGCCTCTGCGAAATAGTGTAGTTCGTAGCGCAAGCTGCAGCCAAGAGTTCGAGCTGATTTTTTGGCTATAACACGCCAGCAGCACCCAGGTTGATTATGTAAAGAAGTGGGCGAATCTGTTTCGGTAGCTGAAAATCGCGAGTCAAACGGATCCACCAGGCATTTGCTAAGGCAAACGTGATCCTAATGCAAGGAATCTGCAGGTAACTGTAAGACATTTAACTTGGACATCTTTTAAGCCCTGGAATTCAGCGTAGATACATAGCAAAAAGTTATTTCGTGCAAAAGTGGCGTCAAAAAGAGATGACTTAATTGATTGTTGATTAAAGAACTCACTGTTTAGCTGGAAATATTCTAGGCTGGAAATGTAGTGTGCATCTGTTGTTGTTCTAATTAGCCAACATCGCATTGATAAAACGGATTCAAAATTACACTAACCGTCTACCAAAAAGTATCGCCACGCTAATTTTGCCGGTTCCACACGAAAACCTCGCAGAATGAATGGTTGTTTACATCATATTCTTCACGATCAGAATTTTCCGGGGAGGTTCAAAGCAATTTGAGAGATGACGCAGGGCGCTGTTTAGCTCTGAGGACAAGCATGGACACGCAGATCCAAACGGCACGATATTTATGGGGAGTATAGAGCCATACCTACTGTGGGCGTGCCACACTTTACCTTCCTTAAGAGAAGATGTTGCTCAAAAACTATAGAGTAGGACCAGTGCGAGCCTCTGCGAAGCAGAGGTGACGCACTGGTATGTTATAACGTAACCATTTGAAAGCACACGTAATAGAATTAATCCAATTCTAAGAATCCAATTAAGATGGGGTCAAAAATATTTTGATCTGTCTTTCACAATTGAAATTTTCGATAAGGTGTTTGTAAGACAAATTTTCTCCGCAGATTATGAAATCGCGTTCAATGATTTCAACCTACTTCCTCAAATGGCCACGACTAGAAGCACACAGTCTGTGTCAATCAAGTGCTCCTTTTTCGGGGAGACCAATCGCCACGCTAGAGAGCTTCGCGCAACCTTCGCGCGAAGGCTTAAACATTTGATTGGCCTCAACGATCAAAGGTCCGCACGCAAGGCCTACGCGTTGCCACGCTTCCTACACGAAAGGGAGCACGTAACTGACGCTGACTGTACTTGCCTTGCCAGTCTACCTATTTTATTGAAAGTTTTTTTAAACACTTGCACCTTTCAATTATTACCTATAAATCGTCGTTTTTGTGCTGCCCTTTCCAATTAATGCCAGCAAAAATAGGCGATTGGCCGAAAGAAAAATAAGCCGGGAATGCGCGAGATGTGTGCGAGGTGAGGGCGAGTTTGGCGCGAGGTCATTATTGCCACCCAAGGGAGCGCGTGAAGAAGAGGCGATCCTTTAGAAAAAGCTGCACGTTCTCCTTTTTGATTGACAGTAGTGTTGCTCGTAAAGGTGCAAACAGCTGTGTATATATTTGATGGTCCGTCCCGTTACACGAAAACGTCTGCTTATTTCGTTCATCTGTAGGTTTTATTTTGGAGGTCATTCTGCTTGGCGAGGAATCCACTCTGCAATCTTTTGTCGTCTACTCTTCTCATGTGATTGAGCCATCGGCGTTTCGCCTTGGTAACGTATTTCTAAATTACAAAAACGGCGGGCCTGCTTTATGCCGGTGTTGCAAAATCTACGTCTTGTTATGTCGGGCTTTAGTGGATTGCGTTTGAGCGCAATTTTTATGGTTCTTGGAGCATGCAACTACTGCTTAGGTCCCAGTTACGTAGCAGAGAGTTGGGAAACGAGCGTTCGTAACTCTGTAGGTTCCGGAACAGTTCCAGCGCAGCGCACAGTTCGAGCCTGAGTCAAACAGATGGACTCAAGCTCCTCTTGGCTGGTGCCACTACAGCAGCGCTGAAAACTCCTGACTTCTTTATCTATCTTTTATTTAACTTGCCGAACTTTTTGCAGCCTCGATACAAGTAAGAATTTTGCGAAGGGTACTCTTCAGTTTCATTGCTGTACCTCCACAAAATGAGTTCTCCATAAACGCAGTTCTCTCCAGTGCAACTCTTAGTCGAATCTTCATCCAGGCTTCAATTCTCCACCATCGCTTCTATGCCAGTGATAGTTTAATGGAAATATTGTTCGCGAATTTCAGCTCCGGTATCTCCCAACTCCTGCTCCTGAAACCTTTTAAATAAGGTTGTTAACTGTAATGAGCACAGGTGCGATAAGGTGAGAATGACTCTTCCAGGGTGAAGGGGGTCACAGTGGTCGCAGCCCCTCCAGGGTGAAGGGTGTTTTACTTGGTAGAGAAATCATGAAATGTCGACGGGGGGGAGGGGGGAGCCATCATTTTTCCTAGTCAAAGTTCATAATTTCCAATTCCTTACCACTATTTGTCTTTATTCTGAAATGTGAAGTGATACGCTGCTGGATTAGCACACAATTATATTTCTGACCAGCACCTTGTATTTTTTTACATTTTCTTTTCTCTTTTTTACATCGGCCTGCCTGTTTTTGGAATTACCATGGAGGATGTGCATGCGAGAACATTTTCGGAAAGAGTTAGACAATTTTTGAGCATTTGCGAATTTTTTTAAAGAAGAAATTCGTAATTTCTGTAGATGAACAACAACGTCAGAAAGGTGAATGTTTTTAAAACCATCTTGTCTTCCGCTTTTAGAGAATATATAGTTTGCCTGGAGTCTGTTGAAAAAGTGCCTGGTGTAGAGTGTGGGTAGTGATCTCTGGATATTTTCGAGTCTTTTAGGATGGAAAAATCCGTAACTTCTGAAGATGAACATAATTTACGCCGGTATGGCTACCATTGAAACTGCCTCGTTTTCTGCTTTCAGAAGATATATACAATGCCTGGTGTCCTTTAAAAAAAGTGCCTGGATGAAGGGTGTCCTAGTGATTTCTGGAGATTTCCGAATTTTTAACATAGAAGAATTCATAACTTTTTTAGATGAACATCTTGTACGCCGGGATGGCCACCGCTGGAACCGCCTCGTCCTCCGCTTTCAGAAAATATAGAGCATGTCTGAGATCCGTTCAAAAAAGTGCCTGGGTGAAGGGTGTGCTCGGTGATTTTTAAAGATATTCGATTTTTTATCATAAAAAAATTCATAACTTTTGTAGATGATCTTGTACGCCGGAATAGTCACCTTTGGAACCGCCTTGTCCTCCGCTTTCAGAAAATGTATACTTTGCTTGGGGTCCATCAGAAAAAGTGCCGGGTGAAGGGTGGGTGGGACTTTTATAATGGGAGTGCTCAAGTAGACGTCTTTTTACAATGGTAAAAAAGCCTGTACTTGAGCATTCCCATTATAAAAGTCTCACCCACCCTTCACCCGGCACTTTTTTCAACGGATTCCAGGCAAAGTATATATTTTCTGAAAGCGGAGGACAAGCCCGGCTCAGGGGTGAAGAGGGAGTGAGAAAATTCTCACACTATCGCACCTGTGGTAATGAGCATGTTCACTTATCCCCTTCTAACTCTCGGCCCCGTAGCAACTTTGCAAAAGATGAATACAATCGATAACGAGACCCCTCTCGCGCCGAAGTGTATGTGTGCAACGTTTGGTCCTCATCGGTCAAATTCATTCCGCGCAATACAGACATACATACATAGACGACGAACAAACAATAGCCAAACAGCTTTATATTCAAGATTACACAAAATGTAAGGAAGTTTGAGACTAGTCGTCATCTTCATCCTCGTCGACATCTTTTTTTGGACAGATTCCTAAACATTCACGCACAGTTGCGAATATAGCGTACTAGTAAAGAGCAGATTTTCGCGAATCAGAGCTCAATGTAATTTATCTGATTTTGCGTACCAGTATGCGTACAAATCCAGTCAAGATACATGCGCACGTCAACGTAGCGATTTTCCAAGTCTTAATAAGGCAATACTTGTTGACGCATAGTTTCGATGTTACACTTACAGCCGTTGGACTCACTGCACGGCGGTTTTACTGAAGAAGCTATTCCAAGCTGAACAAACCGATCCTTGTAGGATGAAAACAATGGACCTCCGCTGTCGCCCTACAGTGAGAGATAGAAAGAACACAAATCAAGAGCTAGGAGATGAACTGACAGAACACAGAGCAGAGACTTTGTCCACTGTTTCAATGATAAAATCCTTTTCATTTGATCTGAACAAATACGTCTTTTGAATTCCGCCACTCCATATATTTCTCCGAGATGCTAAATGGTTTTGAAATCTGTGCCGTATGTAATGGGCCGGTATTATTAAGAATTTCAATCGAAACAATCGAAAGTGAGTTTACGGCCCTTGAAGAGTACAACTTATTGCAAACATCGTTTTGTTTAAGAACTCAACCAAAGTCGGAACAAAAACCCACGGTCTATGCCAGATCCTACGGCCTCCATGATCAGTCGAAGAAGTTGTTTTCTTTGAGGAAGGCAGATTGGAATACCTTCGTCTCTCTCAATCTTACTACTGAGAGTTATTATCGCAATGTCGTGTACATGAGAGCATTTATCGTAGTCAGTTCGCACGTATATCTGGAAAAGGAGTTAAGGTTTTTATCAATTACTAGCTGGCTTACCCGGCTCCGCCGTATGTTCCGAATAGAAAATTCCATTTCTTAACCGATCCGGACCAAACTTGGCACACATACACTTCGGGCCCCGTCGGGTGTCACAGTCCACTTTTCGTTATCGATCGATGTCGATTTTCGATTTTTTGCAAAATTTGAGCTAGGGGCTGAAATTTGGCAGAGGGGTGTAATCGAGCATGCTGATCACCTCCACGGGGGTGATCAGCATGCTCGATTACCCCCTGTGCCAACTCCCAGCCCCGTAGCTCAAATTTTGCAAAAAAAAATCGATAAAATCGATATCGATCGATGACGAAAAGTAGCCTATGACACCCGCCGGGGCCCGAAGTGTATGTGTGCCAAGTTTGGTCCCGATCGGTTCAGAAATGGAATTTTCCATTCGGAACATACGTACAGACAGACATACAGACAGGCAGACAGACATACAGACAGACAGACAGACAGACAGACAAACAGACATTCAGCTTTTTATATAAGATTAGTAACTCACTCTGTCAATTTTCTTCGATTCTCTGCATTTCGTAATAAGACGACAGGCGCTCCCAATGTATATTCTCCATGAGCTCAAAAGAGTGTAGTACGTGTAATTGAATCTAAAGTAGACGAGTTTTCACAATACGATATTTATGCGATACATCACGTTCCATAGCGATTGCTATTTGGATTCTATTATACAATTGCCCTGTAGATTTGAAGGTACTAGGTCGTTCGGAAAGTTCGTGACGTTTCTCGAACCGCTCAGAATAAAGATAGACAAACGTGTTTGATGCAGAATTTTTCCTTTTTCTAAAATTATGTTTTGCTATTCCTTAGATGTCAGCTCAAATAGTCTTATTGTTGGAAATCTCCAATCCATGATTTTTACTCATCGTGTGTTTGGCTAAATTATTGAATTTCCGTTTTCAACTTTTCGACTAGCCTTGATTGAGTTGATTAATAAAATGCAATACAATGCTATTTTGGTTTCTTCAAATGATGTATCGTTAATTTCTAAAAAAAATTTTCCAAAAGACTGAAGAATTTGCTTTTGCGAAATTGTGAAATACACAACCGCTCCGAACACTTACATACCTTCGGAAATTGCAGCTTCTAAAACATCTTGTTAATCAAGGCCGATTTTAGCAAGCTCACAGCGATTCCAAGTAGTGGATTCGAATTTTTCAAGCCAGCTTGGGACGCATTCGCGAACAAGAATTGTCCTGGTTTTATCTCAAATAGTATACAAACAAAGAATAAAGAAGTTTTCCAGAAAGAGGAGGAAAAGCTGAATCGAATGACTCCTGACGGCTCGCCGTTTACTGTTCTATGAAGATTGGAATCCTAAAAATAGAATTCAATAGCATTGAAAAAATGATTCTGAAAATTTTGAAAAGCCAGCTAGAGATGCCAAAAAATGTATTTATTGCATTCTATTGTTTCTATCCAATCGTTATAATTTTCCAGACTCGCCCAGACTGCGCCCAGAAAATTGGAATCCAATATTTCGAAACTCTAAACGATCAGCTGCTTGCTAAAATCAGCATCAAGTAATAAGGTGTTTTTGAAAGCTTCAAATCCCGAAGATTTCTAAGTGTTTGAAACGGTTGAGATTTCACGGCCTCGCAAGGTTTTTGGAAAATATTTATCTTGAGAATTACTGAAAAGCTAGTTGAAGATGCCAAAGTAGTATATTTGTTGCATTTTATTCAATTTATCCAACCGTCATCAAAGCTGGTTCGAAAGAATATTTAAAAAAATAGCCATACTCAAAAGTATAAACCATGAGTTAGAGATTCTAACGATTATTCGAGCGCACATCAAAGAAATCTGAACAGAAACATAGTGGTTAGAGAGAGGAATAAATTCTGCACCGAACCCTTCCAAGGGCGTTTGTTATCTTTATTCTATGTGGTTTGAGCATGGGTTTGAAAAACGGTACGAATTTTCGGACCGACCTTATATACAGTGTCCCAAAAAATTTGAACACGGTTTGATCGTTAACAATTCTGTTGCTTTGATGTCTTACACCGAGCTTGACGAACCTTTCTGTAGAGCGAAATCTAGAGATTTACAGAATGGAACGGCTCTCTGATCTTTCTTCGTTACTGTAGCATTACGGTAGAAACTTTTCAGCGTCACTGTAGAACAGGTTTTTTGATTAAAAAAATTCCAAAAAATCCAGAAATTTGTGTAGCAGGTTTTTCAGGCGTTCTGTTTTTACTACATAATTTTCACCAGTTTTCCGAGCCTTTTAATGGTGTAATCTCGCTTTCGACGAACATTGAAAAAACACTCGCTACGCTTTCTGAATTAACATATAAAAGAAGAATTACAAAGTGCAACTTTTATATTTAGAATCAGCGACTTTGATTGATCCAGTACAAGAGTTTCTGGCTTGTTTGGTTTTTTTATGAGGCAAAAAATTGCTTTCAAATTCCTAAAATCCTTCTCGAAGTTTCTACCGTTATCCTACAATAATGAAGAGTGATTGGTGATTCGCTTCATACTTGAATTTAAGACCTTGCTTTACGGAATGGCACCACAAGCTCGGCGATAGACGTGAAAACAGTGAAAGCAAGAGAGTTATTAGCGATCAAGCAGTGTTCACATTTTCTGGACAGTTATATTGGAAGGAGTTTTACTAATTACTTTTGTACTAAACTATACGCTACAAAGGCTAAGAGCTTGCGCGATGACGCGTAAACACTCTGGTGCTCCTCCTACATAGTCTTTACAAAGGATGAATATTATTTTTCCGTAATATGCATTTTTCTCAAATCCCCGCTCCATCCTTATGCGAATGCACGTTAGCATTTTGGTAGTAAAATTTCGATTCATTTTAGGTTGGCTGATACTTTTTGTTACATTTGCCTTTTTTATGAAAAAGGTTTCTGAAAAGCTCTCATTTCACTCAAGGGTTTACAGCTTACACACCGGCATGAACGATGTTGCCATTGATGACACGGACAGCAAGTTCAAGGAGATTTCGCAAGCATGACCAACTTTTCGTTTTTTGTGCTTTTTCTGCGGCCCCTTGTGATTTTTTTTCTTCGCAACACTTTGCGATAGATTTTTCCAGTGTTCTTTAAGCCGCAACCTGCTCTTAGCGTCTCAAAAATTGGGAACAACGCAGAAAATTTTTCTTTTAGAAATTCGCAGTTACGTGTGCATCGTAAAGATGATACAAAAAGTTAGAAATGTTTACAACCTTTCACCAAGATTTACATTGCCATTGGGTGCCAAAACGCTCATCCCTATCTCAAACTGTGCAAGCGAGATTATGAAATGTATATTCGACACTATAGATATGCCTGTACGATTATCACTTCATTCGGTTTTCGCTCATTTCGTGGAAGGCCCCGACACACTGCGTTATTGACAAAACAAGCCACAAGTTGCTCTAACCATAAAGCCTACCCCAGTACCATGAAATGGCTAACTCTATCAGTCTCCCACTTATCGCCTAGAAGGTCTCTTAGTGATAACTTCTTGGATACTATATTAGCGGTCGTTGAAACTTCAACTCAATTATTGTTTCGGTCATTACTTTACATGTTGGTTCGGGTCCGGTTCATCCTCCGTTACTACTTGGGAATAGCTTGTTAGGCTTGTTCATCTTTTTATTTATAATCTTATCTCGGAGTTCTGTTCTCTCCCCAGAATCAGTCGGGGCAATCTTGTCAACATATATGGTCCCCGCAAATATAGTTGCTTAAGTTGAATGGTCTAAGAGCACTTTTGCTGCAAGCAGGGGCATGACAGACTCCACCGAGCATCCTATTGATATATTCGTACAAGTTCCAAACAAGCTTAGACCCCTTTTCCTAACATATCTGAGAGTTGGACTTGGGCTGTGGTGGTTTTTTCTATTGTTGGTTGTGTATTACTGTAAGGTTGTGACTATTTTCGTTTTACTTGTTCCAATTGTGGCACGCCTTGTGCGTATTGAATAAATAAATAAATAAATAAAGCGGGTGGCTCAATTTTCCCCCATTGGCACAGAATAAGGAGATGACCCTTCAGTTGGGTAGGACTTAGCACCTTGTAAAAGGCCTCAGACATGTTTATTATAAGGCTTTGGGATATTTTGGGAATAAAACAAGGTGAAACAGAATCATCCAATATTTTGATAAGTAGGTCTCGCATGTTATGTATATGTTTCGAATAAAAGATTGCATCTTCCAACCAACTTCACCATAGTTTCACACTATATGTTAATGAGCGGCAGGTAATACAGCAGGCTACCTTTGGCTAATAAATGAACATGAAACTGACCAACCAGTGCGTCGACTATGCTTAATAGGTGCTTGCACTGGTAGTTCTACTATCATACTTGGATACGCTTATGATTGTGGCCTTCATGACCGATAGAAAAAAAAGTGATTGAAGCGTTGTGCCTCTCCCACACATACAGGGTGCCCCAAAAAATGTGCACACTGTTGGATCGTTAATAACTCTCTAGCTTGAATGTCTTCCGCTGAGGTTAAGGTACCGTTCTTTAGAGCGAGATCCAATTTCAATTTACAGCATGAAAAATCTCCGATCTTTCTTAGTTACTGTAGGATTCCGGTAAGAACTTCGAGAGGCTTTTAGGCCTTTGCGTGCAATATTTTGCCTCAGAAAAATAACAAGCCAGAAGCTCTTGTACTGGGCTAGTCGAAGTCGCTGAAATTAAACGTAACTTACGCTTTGCTTCAAAGTTTCTTTCGTAAGCTCAAATTTAGAATGTGGAGGGGCTCATACACATCCTCATAAGAATGCAAAACTTGTTCTCCATATTCATAGATTATCCGTACGTACTGAGTCTTAGGTCCGTAAGCAGATATTTCCTTCTAAGCCATTCGACATACTCGATCCTCTTGACCCGCTTGATCCTTCGTGATAAACGCGCGCTCACTTGTTTGTCATTTGGCGCCGCGTAAATAAAAAATTCTAATTCTGAATTAAATCGTAATTCTGTATGGCTGTGCAAATTCGTGTACGCAACGCCAAATGACCTGATGAGCACACGTTTCTCATGGAGCGGATCAAGCGGATCACATGGATGAACATGATCAAGTATGACGCATGCCTACGAGGGGAGGAGCTGAGGAAGGCTTTCATATCTTGTAGCGCTAAAATCGTATTCTTTTTTATCTATTAGGTTGTCCGGAAATTAATGCCCGTTTTAAATTCCAACAGCGCTAAGTCATATACTTCTCATCTCTAAATGGGTTGCAAAGTACCATTCGATAGAGCAAAGCAAGCTCTACAAGACGGCCATCTTGCTTTTGCAACAGCTTTGATCCATCTCGAGTTTCGAGCCAAAAACTAAAAAGACTCACCAGTCCGAAAAATCGAAAAAAATCGTAACTCAGTTCATAAAAATCCTACAAAAATTCTAATTTGATCGCGTAAACACTATCCACATAAGACATCAAAATACGCCGTTGCCGTATTTTTTTCTCTGTTAGAAACCGAGAAAACGGAAATTTTCGTGCATTTGCCAAAGTGATGCTGTGCCGTCCCCGCATGGGTAGTTGTATACCACAAGTCTGTAGAAGTACAGACTTAAATTTCCAGCTCTCTACAAGCTTTAGTTCTTGAGAAATACCGAATATAGCTTTCCTTACTTAAGTGGTCCAAGCTAAAATTCAAATTTCTCGAGAACTAAAGCTTGTAGAGAGCTGAACATTTAAGTCTGTATTTTTTCAGGCTTGTGATATACAACTACCTATGTGGGGACGGCACAGCATCACTTTGGCAAATGCACGAAAATTTCCGTTTTCTCGGTTTCTAACAGAGAAAAAAATACGGCAACGGCGTATATTGATGTCTTATGTGGATAGTGTTTAAGCGAGCAAATTAGAATTTTTGTAGAATTTTTATGAAATGAGTTACGATTTTTTTCGATTTTTCGGGCTGCTGAGTCTTTTTAGTTTTTGGCTCGAAACTCGAGATGGATCAAAGCTATTGCAAAAGCAAGATGGCTATCTTGTAGAGCTTGCTTTGCTCTATCGAATGGTACCTTGCTATCTATTTAGAAGTAAAGAGTGTATGACTTATTGCGGTTGAAATTCAAAACGGGCATTAATTTCCGGACAACCTAATATCTGTCCTATAAAGGTCTCTTGTCCTTATGACCGATCACAATAGATTACAGGACATTGCCATACTAGCTGAGAAGCTCACTGGTTTGGGTGATCCCCTGAGGATTCCCAGTGACCAGACCCTTCCAGAGCCGTCAGTATTCCCATAAACCTTCCCAGCGGAGAATACGTGCACACGTCTTACCTATAATATATTAATGCTTCGCTTTCTTCCCCTTAAACGAAGTGCGCTATTTTCAACTTATTGTTGAATTTTTATGCCTTGAAACGAACATCTTTGAACTTACTTTCTGTATTCTCGAGGTTTTACGCATTGGACTTTTTTGGTATCAAAATGTTCAGATTCCATAATGCAGTGGGCGGCTGTGAGCACATGATATGGCGAAATTAGCGAACCTCCGCAGAGCTCTGCTCCCAAGCCTAAAAGTTCAGACAACCTTTGTTAACACTGGGATGACGATGGAGATACGCACCTTTGTGATATCTGAGAGTAACAAAGAAAGGGTATTCATCTCGTTCCACAGGTCGTCCTTGAAGAATCTTGTAGCTTGCTCCTTAAGTTTGCTTTCAGTAATGTTTAATAACTGTTGACTCACTTTCATTTAGCAGAAGTTCGCTGAAGCCAATCTTATAAGGGAGGTCTTTTCGGTCGAAGTGCCCTTTTCACATGAAATTGATGCGATTATAAAAAGCATCAAACGCTGATTCCAAATCTGTCTTCGTTAACTGTAGAGCGCCTCTAGACGTCGAGTTATAAGCGTTTTTTGAGTTGAGAAATTATATGCATAATTAGGACAAAATCGTCAGAACTGCTCAAATGGTCCAATGCTGATTATCAAAGCACTTTATCTGAACAATACCTTCTGTCTAAAGTGCTCATAGCTCTAGTTGAGCGCCGAAAACCGTAAAATTTTATTTTACTCAAATTATACGTTCATTTCTCGCACCAAGAAAATATTCATAACTCGATATGCAGAAGCGCTCGACAGGTAATGAAATCAGATTTGAGATCAGCGCTTGATGCTCTTCAAAGTGGTATAAAACTCATTTGAAAAGGCCACTTCGACTAATCGGACCTCCTTTGTTAGAAAATTTTTTCAAAACTGCATAAAGTAATTTCGGTACTTTCAAAATGTTCTACATCAGCGGCAAACCTTTCACAATCTTTTCCTCTCTGAAAACGTTTCAAGTAGGGAAAAAAGATGATTAGTTTGGATGATTAGTTCTTCAGTTTTTCACGAATTTTTTTTCAGCCGCTTAAAACCTAGCATAATTTTTCTCATCGCACATACAACTGGGAATCAATTTTTCTCATCGCACAGACAACTGGGAAGAAAACCCAGGCATTTTGAAATTCTGCTTTTCAAAAAATTAAAATCATGAGATTCTAACGGGAGACAAGGTGATGACTAGTACAAAACAATGAGTCTGAAGGTGAAAACCAATTTGAAATCCATCGAAATCCTTCACGGCAAATAATTACTCGTAGCCATAAGAGAATCTTTAAGAAACGTTATCAAATCCTATGTACCGCAAGTGGCAAACAGACACACTTTGCGAGAGTTTCCCACAATATCGCAATTCTTTGTCTCCCTTCTCCGTTAATATAGATTACGTTTGAGATGAGGTACGTTAGGCAAAACGCCGTATAATGCATCCCACTCTAGAATAAAACGTTAGTCCTATGCATCAGAATAAATTCGAAAGTGCATGTTCGAAACATGAAACAGAAACATGCCTCATTCCCTCAGAGAATTTATCAAAAATTATGAACCACAAATGACAAACAGTCCCACTTCGTCTGAGTTTTCCACAATTCTCCCGCAATTCTTCGTTTTCCTTCTCCGTCAACTTTTTACAAATTACGTTTGCGATGAGATACGCTAGACAAAACGCCGTTATTTGCATCCCACTCTAGAATGAGACGTTAGTTCGAGGAATCAGAGAAAAGAAAAAAATTCGAAAGTGCGATTGATTTGACGGAAGCGGTTAGTGCCCTATTCCTCTATTCGATGGCGTAAAATGAGCATAAACACGACTGTTGAATAATAACAGCTCATTATTTAACGACTGCATTGTTAATGTTCTGAACGCGCATTTTCAAATTATTGCTGTAATAGAAGTCACTGATAAACATTTTTTTACCAAACTTTATGGCTACTGGTGTTGATTAGACTACGTACAACACATAAGAAGAGATTAAAGCGCAAAACAAGAGGATTAAATCAAGACGTTCACTCATCCTTCGATAGTGAGCTTGAACAAACCAACTTTGAACGTATCAATGACGAAATATTGGGAAAGCGAAGCGCTCACCCTATTTCCATGTGTACAAGCCGCACTTAGTCTGCTCTAAAAAAGAGCAGGCCTGCGGTAGTTCTCTCCTGCTGTTTTCTCAGTTAACGCGCCTCTTGGCACGCATATTGGAATGGCGAGTTTGTCTTCAGAGCAATCAGGGGGAGGCTTCACACCGGAAAATAGGATAGATTATTTTGTCAACCAATTCTAAAAGTTGAGTTATGAGGAGGGAATGAGAGCTAGTTGGGTCGTGAGGGGATTTGCAGGTTTTGTTCAGAAAATCTTAATAAACAGAAATTTCGGATTTTTTCCGATTCTTAGGCAAACCGTAGTGCAATCATTAAGTGAGCGAACTTTTACAACTTGGATGTCGGTTCCTTGCCTCTACTATTAGGTTGTGTAATAAGTTCTGTCCCATTTTTTTCTTTTGATATTGTCCTATAATACAATTTGCGCGATGTTCTGCAATTGTTTAAATGCATTTGAAAGCTCTAGCCTTTTCTAACCTTCTATTTCGGTTTTTTACATCAGAAGACTTGGAAGAGTTTTACAGCGTCAAATTTGGAAAATCAAACAGGGAAAAATCCATTTTCGACAGCTACGTTTCATCGCGCTCCAATTAGTCAGAATGCCCAAGAATGAGCTCGAAAAATTTGCTACACGTAGCAAAGATGCTATAGCTTCTATTGCCAAAACTTTTCAAAAATCATTTCTGTAAACTTTGGAAAAGCCTTCTTTTTTAACGCCTTTTCAACATTGACGTTCGGCATCATCTGAAGGTATCCTGAGGGAGGACGGTAGGCGGATCTTCTAGAAAAGACAGGGGTGGTTTATGGCTCCAAAACTAAAGAATTCATAGGCTGAATACTCAAAATTCGAATCTTGGGAGCCCACAGCTTGGACACGCGAGACGGCGAACATCGGCGTGAACAAAGTCTTGCTTTGCCGACTTTTGAAAAAATGTCATTGAATAGTCGGTGGAAGGAAGGGAACAAGCGCAAACAAAATAAGAGTCTAATAGATTGCTTTGCTTGTTGTCGAGCTTGTTTGAGAAGCTTTACCAACGACAAGCGAGGAAAATTTGGAGGAAAAATAATGTCGAAAATTGATTATTCGGCTCTTTGGATTTTTGTTTCAATGGCAAAAATCTTTTTCAAGTTCTCGCTAGGTTCGGGAATGATGCATATGAGCCTGCAGAACAGACTTGGCGCTTTCAAAAGCATATACACTTTATCTCAAATTAGGTCAATGTTGTCGTGAAAAAACTAAAACAAAAAATGGGACAGAATTTATTACACGACCTAATACATACAGGGTGGGCCACAGTTGTACTGCTATTGTACTGCTTTGTAATCCAACTTGGGACTGCATGACTAGCATGATATTGAGTGTACAAATTTCAAGGAATGTTCACAATCAAGTGAAACATAAAATTGACCAACTCATTCTTGAGGAATGGCGCTGTATATCTGCCGAATTGCACTTTTCATTGCTCATTAGTATTTACCAAAGAACTTTAGTTGCTTTTTCAGTTTGTGTTTCACTTGATTGTGGGTTTCCACTCGATCACTTGTTTGTGTTTCCTTTTATTGTGAACATCCCTCAAAATCAGCACTCTCGATATCATGCTAGTCCAACTACCAAGTTGGATCACATTATGCATTAGAACCTCAATACCTTTTTGAATTAACCATAACTTTTTCCAGAGAACGGGATCGCAGATATGAAAAGTAAATTTGCAATAGACGCAACAGATGATATGCGGTTCATTCCAGTTCGCCACCGTTGGGAAGCATGCATCAATGCATTGTCTTATTAGGGAAGCATGCATCAACTTCCCGTGGGAAGGGGAACGCAGTGAAAAGAAAAAACCATATTCTAAAGCTGAGTGTTCTAGATTTCACGCAGGCAAACTATCCGCAAGTGTTTCTACTATCCTTCATATACATATTGAACAGGAGCGAAAAGTCGTACAAACCGTATTTTTCAGCTTTTTGTATGATCCGATGATCTTCGGCTGACCGGACTTCTGCCTCCCCTCCATAGGTGCGATAGGGGGAGCCGGGATCTCCCCAGGTGAAGGGGGTCTCGGCTGTTCCCGACCTTCCAGGGTGAAGGGGGTATGTGAGTCTAGGGGGGGGGGGGGTGGGGGAGGAAGAGAGAAAATGTAAGAAAGCGTGCTATGAAAAGCTCTAATTTGTATGGTTTATCCCAAAAGATGTGCAAGTTAGGAACAACTTCATTTCCTGCGCATCATCATCAACAATATCACTATCGCTAACGTCAGAGAAAACAAATTCGGTGCCTGAAAAATCTTCTTCTTCCTCCAAAAGGTCATCGGAGTGGAAGTAGAATTGCGTGCAAAGCGTTCTAAGTCAAAAATGGATTTGAAACTTTTTTCTTCTTCGAAGCACTTTTGTGATTTTTTTTCCTGGCCCTCTGGTAGCATCAGGAAGTCAGCAGGTAGGTGACCAGTTTCTTCATACCTTCTTTTAGGATATTTCAAAAAGTCATGCGGTAACAGCCTGTCTGGACCACTTATACCAATCCTTTGAATGAAGTTTTTAGATAACAATGTGTTTAGTAGAAGGTTGACAAATCTTAAGTATTTGCTTAGATGCTCTATCGTTGTACGACTTCTGCGTTGTGTTCTGATAACAGAGTAGAAAGAAAATTTCTTTCTTCACCTCTGCCGTGCTAGACGGAATGGAAACTAGCTTTGCTAGTAAATCTTTCAGATTTTTGCGGTAAGTAATGGGAAAAGAGCCAGATCGCATATGCTTTCGCAACACGAGAAGGAAATAGTGCATACTTTTTTGGGCCTTGTCGAACTCTGGCTCCACCTCCTCTGGCATACGTCCTGTTAGCTGATGAGAAAGCTGCTCAGCTTCTTCTTTAACAGCATCTGCGGAATAGCCGAAAAAAGTAGATACTATGCTGCGCGTTGTTTTTTTCAATATCATGGGTCATAATGTCACAAAGCGAATAACTTCCAAAAGCATAAAGCACAGAGTTGGGTTCGCACTCCAGCCGGGATCTAAGTGCAGTAACTATGCTTTGTACTAACACCTTCCTTTTGTTCATATCCATATTTGTGAATTTAGCAGCCTTGAATTCTTCAGCAACCTGAAGATCAGCAATGGACTTCCTGGACATTTCCTCATTAAAACTAGACAATCTGCTTGGATTCCTTATGCAGGAAATCAGAGAGTTTCGCTCAATTGTCAACTCTGTGTCAATGTCGACAACATTTTCGTCGGCGTAAGATTCTCCTTCTGCCTCGCTATTGAACTGGAACACATGCGAGTCATCTACGATTTTGTAAAGTATTCTGCCTGCCGTTTCCTCTTCAAACTGCCAATCTTTCCAAAACATTGAGGGATAATTTAATAACATGTTATTCTTCTGAATGTCTTAAAGTTTTTGATTCATTGAACCCAATCACCTTCTCTACAAATTAGGTAAGGTGAGTCTAGAGCGTTTTCATGATAGTGACCTTCTTCAGCACTAGGTTTACAGAGTATAAATTCCAGAAATGGGCAGGTTTTGGTGTGAAGGTGTGGAAATTTATCAATCTCCCATAGTTTTTTGAGTGTGCGCTAATAATGAGGCATAACTGTCAATCAAAAGCGCATTTTTTACAAAAAAACATAAACATATAACAACGATAAGGACGCTCAAACAGACGCGTTCGCTCACGTTCCCGTTAGTGCTGATAACGATGTCAATCCACAGCACATTTTTTACTATTAACTTGCTCCACCTCGCTCTTATTAGGTCGTCCAGAAAGTTTTTGCGCATGAATTTCAAAATTCATAACTTCTGATTTTTCCAACCGATTTGACTGCTTTCACTTTCATGTGAAAGGGTAAGTCATGCTCTTTATAATGACCTCTCAGCTGCTTAGTAATGGTCATCTGTTGCATAGATAGGAGCGATAGAAGAAAAATGGTAAAAATTTTAATTTTCTGTGTAGGGTCATAAAAAATCGGAGACTTGCAACAAAAATCGGAGCACAGTACTGTAGGATCTTTCACCAGCTCTTTCTAACAGTACAAAGTTTGCGCCGATTGAGCGTCTCCATGAAAAGTTATGATTTCCCTGAAAAATGCTAAAATAAATCAAATTCGCCTTTTTGTATTGCTTGCTCGGAAATCATAACTTTTCATGGAGACGCTCAATCGGAGCAAACTTTGCACTGTTAAAAAGAGCTGGTGAAAGAACCTACAATACCGACTGCTCCGATTTTTGTTGCAGGTTTCTGATTTTTTATGACCTACACAAAAATTCAATTTTGAGTGATTTTGGTTTTGAGCTTCTATCTATGTAACAGATGACCATTACTAAGCAGCTGAGATGTCATTATAAAGAGCATGACTTGCCCTTTCAAATAAAAATGAAAGCAGTCAAATCGGTCGGAAAAATCAAAAGTTATGAATTCTTGAAAATCGTGCGCAAAAACTTTCGGGACGATCTATACAATGTATTGGCTTTTATCGGTTACCGGAGCAAATGATTTTTAGAGCCGGGAAGCAAAGAAGCCCTAACACGCTGTAAATTATTCGAAAGCTGAGATCATGGAGAATCGACGTAGACCGTCGCCTTTTTTCTAGGTCTT